GCTCTCATGTACGGTTCAATGGAGTCCCATGCGGAAGGCAGGGCATTCCTTTGGAGGAGGTCGGTGGCGTTCTCCTCTTTCTCTGACGTTTCTTGAGATGAACGAAGAAACAGTCGTCTTCTCATGTTTGCGAACCAAGTTGTCTGATCGGGATATTGTGTCGCTTTCGTGTACTTTTCCATCGTCGATTTCATAGTCTTGTTCTTGTGCCGGGCTGGTTTGTTTGTGTGTTTGTGGGCCTTGCCAAAGTCGTGTGTTGTTGCCTTGGTTTCACCTTGCAACCCCAGTCGCGCATGCCTTCCGAGCTGCCAAGAAGTCGCACATGCTGATCGACAAGCCAGAAAGGCTGTTGAACTCAAACAGTTGCCTGTCTGGCACCTCTCTTCTTTGTCCCTTTTCAGCAAGCCACAAACTGACCAACGTCAAAGGCACATGCAGCAGTCTCCCCCAGGGAAGGCAACTTGTTGCTGTCGTGGTGGTCTTACAGTACAATCCACAATCCGTAGAACAGAAGATGCCCTCACTTCGTCACTTGGTGCCTCTTGGAGTGCTGGTGGTGACGTTGTCCAATCTGTTTCATCAGAAAGATGTCTTCAACTCGTGGGGATCCTTTTGGAGTCTGGAAGAGTTGGATTTTGTTCAGGACAACAACAACAACAACGACATGACGAGCAATGCCGATACTGCGAGTACCACTGTGGTGGAACATCAGAGTGTAGAAAGAAGAAGAAGAAGAAGAAACAGAATCTTGTCGTCTCCCATTGATTCGTTTTACTTTGAGCGGTCTCCATCTCACTGGCTCCTGAATTCTTCTTCTTCCTCATCTGACACTTCTTCATCATCACAACCACATCATCATCACCAGCATCATGCCATTGTGATTCCCTACCGCGCTCGGCAGTACCATTTGCAAGAGTTTCTAAAGTACATGAATCCCTACTTGGCCACGCACTTTCCCAACGACACATTTTCCTTGTGGATCCTGGAACAAGACGATTCCGAGCCATTCAACCGCGCGTGGTTGGCCAATGTCGGTCTCCGCGAGATTTTGCGACATTCACCAACTACGCAGTGTGTCATTTTTCACGATGTCGACTTGATTCCATCTGCCAAAAAGGTGGTACCCTACACTACCTGCCATGTGCCGCTACAATTGGGCAGTGAACTGCAACACTATGATTGGACGTTCCCGTATCCCACCTATACAGGCGGCATTACGTCCATGAGTCTGTCGCATTGGCAACTCGTCAATGGACTTTCCAATGACTATATTGGTTGGGGCGGAGAAGACGACGATTTGTATCATCGATTGCGCATGTGCGGGTTGCTCCAACAATCCAAACAACCCGGTTATTGGCATGCACCAGTGCCACATCGACCCCCCAAAGGACACGGCACATTTACCACCATTTCTGAAAAGAAGGAACATCACACCCAAACCAAATCGGAAGGACAAATTAGTAATGCGCGGGATTTGATTCGAGAAATGTATCACAACAGTGATCGATGGAGATACGATGGACTCAATGATGTCTATTACAGTGTCACGGGACGGTCTGTGACACGACCTTCCACAAAAGGATTTGAAGCCATTCATCACATTCAAGTCATTCCGCAAAAGTCCTATCCAACCACCGCCAACAGGAGCACCAGTAGTAGTACTTTGAATGGTCCATTGTCATTCACCAAGGAGAACGCGACGACAACAAAACTGCTAGCACCCATCCAACGAATCCCCGTCACACCCGTGTTGGAATTCGTACCCATTCCGGGAGTGACGGATCTCCTCACGGGCATGGCCGCCAAAGCGGGAATTGTCTGGGGAGCGTGTCATTACTTGTTGCCCGGAGATAGTCTACTAGAAGACGATGAAAATGAAACGGTGTGTCCATCTGGAAGTGGCGATTTTCGATACGATACCCAATGGCAAGCTACCTATACACAATTTGAAACACCGTGGCTGCTGCCACACCGACAGATTGTCTTTAATCCACTCGAGGGAACCCAACGGTTCACTGTCGTTCGCAATCCGTACGAGCGAGCCATTGAGTGGTTTCTTCAGAAACGACGACAATTCACAGATGATCATGATACCAAAGATGTCAAGGCATCCCTCAACGCATTTCTGCAACAGCACATGACAGAATTGCCATTGCAGCGGGACTATGTGTATAGTACTGCAAATGCAAACCCCAAACAAGGCAAGAAACCCAAGCAGTACATTCACCATGTGCTTCGCTACGAACGCTTGGTGGACGACTTGAGGCCACTCTTGTCGCGGTACGAGTATCTAGAGGCACGCTTGGACGTGGAGAGCCTTCAAAAGCGGTGGAATAATAGTACGCTGCAATCATCATCACTGGTGCGAGTGGAGGATCTGTCCGACGCCACCATGGATGCTCTGAACCAACACTTTGATTTGGACTTTTCGCGGTTTGGCTACTCGAAACAACAGCACAGTGGTGGGAATGGCACGTTGTTGAAAGTCCAGCATGCACTTCTCCGTCCAAAGAAAAAGATTGCACTGGCACCACTACAATTGGTGGATATTCCATTCAGCGGCGGAGAGTTTCTCACGCGAGCTGCAGCCAGAGTGGGAATAGAATGGGGAGCCTGTCACTATGATGCCTTGGACGAATGTCCGCAAGACACGAGCGGGGCCTTTCGTGATATCGGGGTGTACCAAGGCTGCTTTCACGAAGGCCAAACGCCATGGCTGATTCCGAACAAAAATCAGCAATTCGTCTTCAAGACACCCCACACGACCACGTTTGCCGTAGTGAGGCATCCCTACAACCGAGCCATTGACTTTTACCGCCACTTTTACGATGAACAACAACAGCGGGGAGAGAATACAGAAGCAGCATTGGCGTGGTTGAAATATCCACAAGACTGGAACGGAACCGTTCCTCCGGCTCAAGTTGCAACCTACTTGATTGGACGAGAAGATCCCAAAAAGCTAAATATGTTCTTGCAGAATGCAATAGTGAACATGCATCGGCCTCACAAGCACACACCCGTCAGTTTGCCAAAGCAAACATGGTACATGTATGGGAAAGGCGTCGACCGTGTCATTCGGTATGAATCATTGATACCAGACATGAAGAAATTGTTGGTGGAATTCAACATGACAACATTGCTGCCGGAGCTCAACAAAGCAACACACCGGGTACCCACGGGAGTGCGCTGGCTAGACATGCCCGACTTGGACAATGTAACCATTGATATGGTGAATCGGCATTATGGTGTTACCGACTTCAAGCGCTGGTATGACAAGTCCCAACGCACTGTTCACGTGTCGACGGATGGCTTTTGGAATCGAAGTCAATACATACACCCGGCTCTACACTCGAATACGAAATACATGTCAAAGGTGCTACTGAAACTGAAAAAGCGGGGCTGAGCTTCAGTTGTGGACTTGTTTGCACCGAAGGGCTTCAATCTGACAGGTTGTTACAAGAAACGGATTCGATTCAACTCTTGGGTGGCGTAGGTTTCGTGGACTCCCACGTGATTGATAAGCAGCCAGGAAGCCGTTTGGTGGAGTGCACACGATTTTGATTGACAGCTCGGCTGTAAAAAGGACTTTACTCTGGCTCACTTTTGCTTTAGCGCAGAAACATCATCATGTCAGACAGCGACAGCGACAACCACAGCGAGGCAAACGACCAATCCTTACAAGTGGACTCAGTCACTGTAACAGCTGAGCGCTTGTTTGGGAAAGATTGTTATGCTGAACACTTACGATCACTGCGGCCAGGTTACTTCAAATTGAAAGCGTACCGTGATTCTGGCTGCATGCTGTCTCTTGCTCTGGCAGGCGATAGAAGTGCTTTCCATACCGACGAAACGATCATCAACGACTTTCTCTGCAAACTAACTCTAAGTGAGCTGAATCAATTGGACGGAAAGGTATGTTCCCGAGTTTCGTTGTACGGTGCAACGTGCAGGAGCCTTTTGTTCTTCTAACCCAACGTTCTTGCGCACCATGATCGTTTGAAGACCGGAAACAGTCTTCTCCATCTTGCGGCAAAATACAATAGAGGCGGACAAAACAACCCTCTTTGCCAATCTACGGGAAGAAACCCCAGGAGAGACACGTCGCCTTGAGCACAATGTCATCAAGTGGCTCCTAACGAATGAGGGTTTCATTCGCGGTGGGTCGCACTGCAATTCCAACGGCGACACCGCGTTTCACGCAGCGATAGGCGCAGGAGTCCCTGATGACATGGTTTCGAAGTTCGAGTTCTTCAGTGAAAACCATGGTGGCCACTTCGGTGGTAAATTTGTGGCCTTTCTGGCTCTTTCACAGTTACTACAAGACAAGCCGTATGCGCAGGCCGCCATCAACATTCCAAACTCTGAAGGATTGACTCCATTGGGATTTGCGATCAAGCGGCATACCACGAGGATAAATGGCCTTAAGTTCATCTCCTTCAGTGATGGGGTGGAGAATCCCATCGACATTAGCATATCAGATTTCCAAAGTGACTACTCGAAGGCAATTGGGGTGGTATTAAAAAGTCCGCATTTGAGGCTGAACCACATGTTTGACGTCCCCATGGATCCAGGACGAGCTTCAAAGCAGGCCCGTCTTGACGACAGGCTCCTTGTCAAAGCCGCATTGCACCCCGAGATTTTAGTCCTGTCCTATCCCTCCCATCTCGAAACCATCTTGAGCGGTGACTTTGGTGGTGTTTCCGAGGAACAGAAGGCAACCACACTTGTTGTTTGCATTGACGAGGAATGGTTTTATGGCTCCCTTGGCCAGTCTCGCGGTACACGTTCCTGCAAATGGTATTTCAACCCGGCATTAGCGTCAAAATTTGGAGGAGGCATACTCCGCAAATTCTTCCGCAGGAACGCTGCTGCATGCTTGTTGGAGATTAGAACTCTTCGAACGAAGCTGGTACAGAAGGCAAGAGATCTACCACGAAAGACAGAAAGCATGGCTGATCTGAAGGGTGAAAGTAACAATGAGAAACGGCGACAATTCATTCTTGATGAAGGAAGGCGAATCAATGAGATTTTGATGGTGCTCAACTCTGAAATGCCGGACTTTTTCTTGGGCGGGATCTACAGGTGCCTGGCACGCAAGCATCAGATCAGCCAAGACAATTGGAATAAGATTCTGGAGTTTTCTGGGTGGAATCAAGAGCTCATTGATATTGAAAATGTTCCGGGAATTCCTTTGCCAGCTGATGACTCTGATTCAGATACGGATGAGCATGACTAGATTGGATCATTCCGAAAACAAGTGATGGCAGAGTAGGATTCAAATTGAGCTCTATCTGGCAAGCCTTGGTTTTGTTTTAAGGTGCATACCAGTACTGTTGGTTCAGGGTCGAGGTGGCCTATTTCCGACACCCGGCAAACACCTCTACCACTATGTCCATTATGGCGGCAACGGCCCGCTATACATAACTAGGTTAGCCAGTTACCAAATAGCTCATGGAGATAAGACTCCTTGTAACAGACCGAACCATCGAGTCAAGGCCAAATCTCAACAGGAAGGTGTTTGTGGTTTGTGAGCTTGCCGTGGAGATCTTGGCTGCCAGAAGGCCGTGAACGCGTGAACGCCAATCCCCAGCAGCAAGCAGGAACGAGTCATGGTTCCACGAGCTTTTTGTTCCGTGAAACAGTTCCTGGGGAAGCAGCACTCCCAAGCAACCGAACTGCCCATTGAGGAAAGAGCACTGGTACCGTATGATGTTTCTGGATCTGAATAAGCAGATCCACGATCCACACTCTGTTCTGTACTCAGGAAGAACATAGGAAAAGAAGGCAGCTGTTTTCCCAGTTTGGGGGAGTATGTACCTTTAATTCTGAAAATGTCTTCTTCAGTCTGATCTATTTAATAAATCCTCATGTTCATTTAGTTCCTGAAATCGCGGCCAATGGCCGCACAGAAACCACGTCAGAAACCCCGATATCGCTTCACAAACCACAATCACCAATCATCCCAGTCCCAGCGGAACATCTCCTCACTGCACACCCCACAGCTGTCAATCATAACAGTTACTGGTTCCTTTACTGCTGCAGCCTGCAATCCTAAGACCACAACCTCCTGAGCTCATGAGCCTGATTGCCACAAGCCAAACAACCTTAGTCTCTGAAAGTGTTGTAGAGAGGAGTGCCTCTGAGATCCACATCCCCGCCTCAGCCATCTTTCTCCAGTCAAACAAACCTCGCTAGTTCTTGATCCACTTCTTCTTCTCAAGCCTTCTCTGGAAGTCCTTGCCAGTGGATAGAGCCACAGTCCCATCCAAGATCCAAGATACCTCATGACATTCCTCGCCTGTTATGATGAAGTGGACGGGGCCACCTTTGGCATTCTCTTTACAGCAACGCTGCTCTCTTCCTGGGTTGCTGGCAGTACATATCAGTGGGTAGTGGAGAAGGGTCTCTTTCGCAAAGATTTTCTTCAAAAGGAAAATCAGTACAATATACTAGTCGCCCTCAGTGCTCTTTCGGCCAATCTACAAACCATTGGCTGTTTTCTCAACGCCGTACTCCTGGACAGTGACGACAATAACGACAGCTATGGCCTTACCACTGCCCTGAGCATCAACATGCTCCTCATGACACACACTTCCTTGATGCTCGTCTCCCGCAAGGTATCCCTAACATATCCCAATGCCGAACAAACCTGGCAACGACTCCTCTACATCAATCTGGTGATGCTACCCGTGAGTTTCATGGGAGCTGCCATTTGGGCTACTTCCCATCGAAACCCCGAGAAGCAAGGGTGGCAACGTGCCAATGCCGTTTTCATTCCCTTGTCCATTGGTCTTTGGGGACTGGCAGAAGCCACACTGAGCTCTGTATTTGTCCATCAAATGGCAAAATATCAATGGACCCCAGTAAAATACAAGGGTTTGAGTATCTCCTCCTTTGTGGCATTCTGCGATGTAGTGTGCTTCATACTGGCAATCACAGTGGGAGATTTGACAGCCATGTGTCTTTGGGGATTGCTTTATTCTGTACGTGTTCGGCTGGAAATTCGAGTTGTGAGCTCCATGATTGAACACATTCAAACGAAACGAGCCTCACTCATGTATACAGACAGCATGAATAAAGACAAGAGCAGCCGCCGTCGAAGACGAAGACGTCGTAAGAAACGAAGCTCACAGAGTGGTGATGACGATGATGAATCAGACTGCCAATCCCTGGGCTCCAACCGCAGTATCCTTTCTCAAATGCGTGTGATGATCTATCCCAACGATTTGACTCAGCTCTTCAAGGCTGATTTCTTTACAAATGTCTTGTCACCGGGCTTTGTTTCACGGTCCCTCCGGTCCTTGGCATCCCTGGCCAAACGATCGCTGGGTGGTTGTGGTGGTACCTGCCCAAAATGCGGCAAACCCATGCTGTTGGACGATATGACCTTGGGAAGCATCCGAAGTCGTAACAGCAACCGGAGTTTAAAGAATGAATTGCATGACGATTTTTGCGCTTGCTACGATGCCGACGAAATGTCTCCCACCACCGAGAAAACAGCAAAAACTTCAAGAGGATCGTCTTCCATGTTTGTGTCTCCGCCCATGAGCGAAATCCGAGTTAAATCGGCAGTGGCTTTCAATGGTGTTGCCGAAGGCGCACAGGTGGATGATGAAGCTGATTACGACGACAACGATTCTGATTCATCAGACATCATAAGCCTCAACTTCGACACCAGCTCTCGCTTGCCCGAGATCACGACAAATTATACACAGCAGCTTAGTCGGCGACGCCTCATGGATTCGTTGCAGAAAACGAGCCAGAAAGAAGATGAGGAAGACTCAGATTCTGAAGAGGATGAGGAAGAATCTGAAGAGGACGAGGATGAGGAAGAATCTGAAGCGGAAGACTCAGAATCTGAAGAATGCACAAGTAATGACAACGACAACGACGACAAAAAATCTAAAGCATCCTTGGCTATTCGCTATTGCGAAAAAGTTTTGGATCACAATTTCTCCGAGTTGTTTCTAAATGTAACATCAGAGGACGACAGCGGTGAAAGCGGTGTTTCATCCGACGACGACGATGCCGACGACGATGAAAGCGATCGTGAAGAAAGTAGCAGCACTGCTGGTGGAACACAATCTCCTGCTTCCAGTTCATATCCACAGCAGCCAGAACAATCTACAGCGCAATCGCCATTGCCCAGCACTGAGCCGCGTGAAGAACTGCCTTGCAATTTGGATGGCACCGTCGCATCCAAGCCACTTGTTGGGTGTGGCGACAACAACATGAACCAATACAGCCAGAGTGCGGCAGATGATCCTGTCAGTCAGGTTGGTGCATGCCTTGAGGGTGACATTGAGCTAGGTGCCGTGGAAATGCCCACGTCGGGCAGGACAAATCATTCATCCTTGCTTTCTTCGTTTCAGAAACAAGACAGTACAGGTACTGTCAATGAAGCCACTCGAGAGCAACTCAATCAACTCGAACAACTGGATTGCTTGTAAGCAAAAGTATTCTTTGAGACGGCTCGAACGCAACTCCATCTACCGACTGCCAAGATCGAGATCCGCACGGTAATCGGCCCATGTCTAAGCACGCCATGCTCTTCCGAGACCTCCACCGTGCAGTTTTTAGTCGTCAAGAAGATGACAATTTGCGTTTGAAAGCATGTTCCCTCAGCTACGGTCCACAGCCAGCTTTAACAACTGCTAAACGTGACCGGAGACTCAGTCAACCAACTTGTCAGCGCAGTTCAGATGGCGGATCACCGGTCTTTTGTGTTTGGCGAAGCAGCGTCAACTCGACTGGTCATCTAGTCGTTGCACAAAGCTGAATCAAAAACATATTACGAATCATTGCAAGAGCTGATCATGAGCAATCTACCTCATGCGCCGGGGAATCTTCAATCAAACTTTAGACACATCACGCACAGTCTTCGTGAACAAATATAAACAAATCTGAGCATTTCACAACTTGGATCCAAGGACGAGGCGCGTCTTGTTGCGCAGTACCTGGTTCCGGTATTGAAGAAGAGGTGCTGGACTCTCGGCCGCTTTTCACTAGAAGGCAAGCCTTCGTCTACAAGGTGATATTGACTTCTACGTTGTATTATGAAGCAATAGATTGTACAATCCTTGAATTATTTTTCTATTGGCACCCAGCTTGTTAGTTCAATGGCTCGAGGTTCCAGAGCAAAAGCTCCTCTTGCCGGTCCTCCGCTTTCGGAGTTGGCTTGGGCCTGCGTGTGTAACGTGAAGGGGATTCGTAGCTTTCTTCTTCTTTCCTGGACAAAACTCTGGGCTCGCCGCCGCCAACGGAGGCTACTTCTGGAGACCGCAAAGGGGTGTCATGTTCGACGTTAGGGATTCTGGGGGCATCAGAAACCAACACGAAGTCGTCCTGGTCTTGATCTGTTGTAGTTTTAGGCAGGTTGACACCACGATTGTCAACTACAGGTAATTGGAGCTTTCCAACTTGGTTCGCGGGCATCTCATCTTCAGCATTGTCAAGTTCCTCAATATCCTCAACCATAGGCAGCGCAACGTTATCCCATTCGTCGGAGGTGGCAATGGCAGCAGTACCAGAGATTTCGCTGACGTTAACTGCGTCGCTCTCTTCAGCCATGCTATGTTCCACGAAAACAATTGGAGATCCAGCGTTGCGCTCTTCCGTGTTGCCCACGTCTTCTACCGCGTCACCAATCTGCTGGTTGCCTACCCGCACAATCGGAGACTTAACGTCTTGGGCTTCTTCCTTACCAATTGTGGCTGACTGACGAAAGGGTTCTTCTTTTGCAACACCAGAGCTTTCTTTGCCAGCGTTTCCCAGCGGAGACTGCAGCACACCTTCGTCGTGCTGCGCTGTATCTGACACTGGAGCTACTAGAACTGCATCGCCATCACGTGTTGACACTTCCAAGTTACTCGACTCTTTGCTGTCGTCAACGACAGAGGGCTCACGAACATCTTGCACTGGCTTCCCCGTCACCTGGACAAACGAGGACTCCAAATCGTCAGAGTCCTCGATGGGAGCTTGAGCGGGTGTCGAGTCTCCGCCGGTATGTTCCATTGCAAACTCGATGTCTGCCCAAGTGAAGGAAGCGCCCTGGCTCTCGATCTCGTCAATGTAGGCAAGTACCCCAATCTTCTTCTCCACAGGAAGCGCCATGGCCCTTTCCACCTGCTCAACGCTGACCTTCGACAGCACGTCGTCTGAGAAGACCCTTTCAGCCAGAATGTCACTGAGAGCATCAGATACATCATTGAAGTGTCTCAGATCGTCGATGCTCTGGTTACCTCTTGGCGTGGGCAGATTCTTGATTTGAAAATCTGGATTTCCCTCGTTACGAATTGGCTTTGACTTTTCTTCTCCAAAATAGAACGATGGCAACGTTGGCTTTTGTGGGCTTCTCACGTTCTTTTCGGCAGGGTCGATGGTCTTTTTGTTGGATTTGCTTTGGCCGCTACCAAGAATCTTCCAAGGAGCCTCGTTGGATGCCACTGGTTGCACAGCCTCTGGTGCTAGCTTCGTGGACAACTTAGAGCCAAAGTTAGCTTGCTTCGGAGGCGACCCAAACGAGGGACCTGCAGCAGCGACAGCAGAAACTGAAGGGGATGCATGAGAGGATTTAGACCCTCTTGATTTCGCAGGACTCGAAACTCTCTGATCTACTCCCTTCGCCAGCCCAGCTGAGCTTCCCAGCGCAAGCGAAGATACAGGAGTGCTTGACTGAGTTCGGGTGGAACCAAGCTGGCTCTTCGGTCCAGATGACGTCTTGGAGTCGGCATCTTTTTGTATGCTCTCACTTGTACCTGCCTGATTCGTTGAAAACGCACTGCCTCCCGCAGCGATCGCAGGGTTCAAAGCCAACGCACCGTGCAATCCGGGGCTCCCCTGGCCAGCTGAGAACGCAGACTTCCAGTCAGTCTTCGCGGTGGAAGAGAAGGCAGCAAAAGGGTTTGGACCCTTGTTCTGCCCCGACGAGAAAGTTGTCGCAGCGGATGTTGTTCCCAGAGGCGTTCTCTCTTCTGCTTTTGTTGTCTCCGACTGTTTATTTGAACCAAACGAGAACGCAGCGGATGTGCCGGGGGTGCCCGTACCTTGACTTGATGCTGTTTCTGTTGGTTTGCTCTGCCCGAATGAAAACGATGTCGCGGCGGAGCTGGACACAAGGGGCTTATTGTCTGACAGCCCAAACGACAAGGATGGGGTCGCAGATTCTGATCCTGTGCTTTGCGTTTTTGCCGTACCGGTACGTGCACCTCCCATTGAGTTGTTGGGTGCAAACGCGAACGATGGTGCTGACGATTTAATGTCCACAACAGGCTGGCTCTTGGTAGAATCAGTGGCCTCTGCAGCTTCCCCAAAGGAAAAAGGTCCCGCAATGCTGGCTTTGTCGCTCGGTGTTGCCACTTGCGTAGTGGGCTTCACGTCGAACGATAAGGGTGGCTTGGCTTGTCCGAAAGAAAAGGAAGGTGCCGTAGCGGGTGTTGTTGATTTAGTTCCCAAGGGAGAGCCGGGGCCACCAAAAGAGAAAGATGGCTTGCCTTTTCCCGCAGGCAACGACGCTGACTCCTTGTTGTCGGTGGGTTTGCCAAGTTCTTTGCCCATGGTGTTGGCTGAAGCACCAAACGGCAATGATGCTGCGTCCATTCCGGTTGAAAAAGGATTAAAAGCTCTCGTGTCGCCGCTGGGTTTTGACTTCTTGGCGGAAGACATAGAAGGGTCCTTGGTTTCACTGGTACTGGTACCTCCAAAAGACAACGATGCTGAACCTTTTCCGAAGGAAAACGTTGTACCTGAAGAACTGGCATCACCGCCAACTGCAGACTTCTTCGCTGGTCGTTCGTCAGAAGTTGTGTCACTGCTTGCAGCACCAAAGGAAAAGGACGCAGTGCCTTGTCCAAACGAAGCAGCCGCTGAAGCCTTATCTTCGCCACTTGAACTAGCTGAGGTAGGAGGGTCTTGGCCACCAGCTGGAACACCAAAAGAAAAGGATGCTTTGCCACTCCCGAGTGAGAAATCACTTGATGTGGCCGTTGATGTAGACAGACCTTTGCCACTAGTCGCGCTGCCGCCACCAAAAGAAAATGATGGCGTGCCTTGCCCAAATGAAAAGGCGCTGGAGACCTTTGCATCATCAGCAGTGGAATCAGGGTTGCCACCGCTCTCACTCCCCAAAGAGAAGGATGTTGTGCCCTGTCCAAGTGAAAACGCGTTTGGACCCTTGCCATCAGAGGCATCGTTTTTTGTTTCGGATGCACCTGTGCCTGTTGGAATCCCAAAAGAGAAGGATGTTGTTCCTTGCCCGAATGAAAACGAGGGTGTTGCAGTCTTAGCCGCATCGACTGTATCCGAAGTCAACGACGACGACGACACTGCAGACGTCGCACTGCCCTCAATTGGTTTGGCGCCAAACGCAAATGGTGAAGCGACGGCGGAAAAGGACGTAAGAGCCGATGAAGAGAACGATGACGGTTGCTTTTCTGTCGACCCAAATGAACCGAACGGCGATTGCTGCGCGCCGCTACTTCCAAACGCACCACCACCACCACCACCAAACGATCCAAAAGGAGACTTGCTGTTGCTGCCCGAATCACCCCCAGATGACGACGACTTGGCCGTTGGCGCCTCAACGACAGATCCATCTTCCGCCAACAATTGGCCACAATCGACAATCACCAAACTCTTCAATGGACGTTGCTTTGGGTCCGTCGCCAGTTTTCCAAGTTCTTCCACGAGTTCCAGTCCTGTCACTACTTCCCCAAAGACAACATGCTTGCCGTCCAACTGAGGGGTGGCCCGCAATGTGAAAAAGAACTGACTGCCATTCTTGTTGGGACCGTTGTTGGCCATACTGAGCAGTCCCTTGCGATTGTGCATCAAAAACGGCGTTTCGTCTTTGAATTTTCCCCACATGTCACCGTGTTCGCTGTTGGGAGGATAAATCGATTCTCCACCCGTTCCATCTCCCTTGGTAAAGTCTCCTCCTTGGATACAGAATCCAGGGGCGATGCGATGAATTTTGCTTCCACGAAAACACAGTTCTTTGGTGGCACGTCCCATTCCTTTCTCGCCCGTACAGAGACAGCGAAAGTTTTCTGCGGCCAGAGGCGTCTTGTCTTGAAAGAGTTTGACTTCGACACGGCCCACGGCAGTCCCATCCAATGCAAACTCCAAAAAGCAAGTGGGACCCGTGCCGGTGGGTGGTAGCATGCCGTCTTTGATGTATTTTTTCTTCAACTTTTCAAAGAGTTCCGTTTCCTTGCCTTGGAATTTGACCAGTGTTTCCTCCACTGTATCCAGCTTGGACGGATTGTACTGTTGATAAAAGTCAATCAAACGTTTCCTATGGTCGTCTGTTTCGGCTGTCATCGGAATCGTCGGAACAGTAGATTGGGGTGCGGGCGGATTTGCTGCGGCCTGCTGGACGGGAGGTTCTGTAGCCGTCTGGGCTGCTCCACTTGCATATTTCTCTTTTGCCTTTTGCAGCAGTGCCTCTTCCTTGCCTTTGAATTTTTCCAACAGTGCATCCACAGTGTTTAACTTGGAAGGATTGTGCTTCTGAAAGAGTTCAATGAGGCGTTCTCGATAGCTCTTCTTGGACGAGTCAGAAGCAGCGATTGGAGTCGAAGATGATTGTTGGGCTCTTTCTTCCACTTTCTGGAACATGAGATCCTCTTTCCCCTTGAATTTTTCTAGCAGTGCATCCACATTGCCCAACTTGGATGGGTTGTTTTTCTGAAAGAATGCAATCAGGCGTTCCCGATGATTGGATGTTGTCGGAGGCGAGGAACCAGGAAAGGAGAAGGAAGTAGTTCCAGCAGCAGCATCCGGCTGCGGATTTTTGGGAGTCGATGATGATTGTTGAGAATTTCCATATCGTTCTTCCACTTTCTGGAACATGAGATCCTCTTTCCCCTTGAATTTTTCCAGCAGAGCATCCACATTGCCCAACTTGGATGGATTGTTTTTCTGGAAGAATTCAATCAGACGTTCCCGATGAGTAAGCTCCCTTGGTGGCTCTGAAGACGGGACAGCCAATGGTGGCGTCTGAAAGGCAGATGCCGTGGGCGCCAGTGAGGATGATGGGGGAGGCGATGCGACTGGAAATGCAAAGGTTGCGGGAGTGCCAGTAGTAGCAGCACTGATTGGGACCGAGATGGGGAGAGAAAAGGAGCTGGTTGCAGAGCTAGGAATCAACGCGCTCGAGGATAGGACTATTGGCGAGTCAAAACTAGTCTTGACGGGTGAATCCATGATATCGATAGGAATGCTTATTTCGGGTGCCGGAGCGACTGTCTCTGGTGATGTAAAGGAAGAAGGCAACGCCACTATCTTCTTTCTGGGTGTTTCGTTCCATTGCTTTTGCTTCTGCTTGAACCACTGAAGCGATCCTTTCGTAGGACGCTTGTCGTCCCTCGATGGGGTGTGTGTCATGCCACTAACACCGTGGGGCATTGGATAGCCGCGGCTTCGTACATCAGGAGACGCCATGGTTCAAAGGTTCTATGCAATACAGCAAGCTTTGTGCTTCGTTGCGTTGGCGATGAGATCAGCAAAATCCCACTTTCGGAGATATCGAAGATCCAGTCGAATATTCGACTTTTCCGAAAGTGGTGATCCCGAGCACCCACCAATCACACTCTACGTAAAAGCGCACTTCCACGAGCGACAAGGAATGAGATTGCCAGTGCCTCGCTTTGATCTCCATTATTTGCAACTAGTAGCATGCTAGGATGGGCACTGGATGAGCTTGAGAAGGGCAAAGGGGGCTTTCGTCTCTTGAAAGCCAAGATGCTGTAGACGATGTGCAACAATTCAAGGTTCTTCTCCCACAGCAACTGCATCCACGGCACCGAAACGAACAATCCTGGGCGGCCCACAAAACCAAAACACAAACCAAAAGTACACAAACCAATTTCAAACTAACAGATAACCATGAAGCTCTTCAACCTCATCATCTCAACTCTTGCCGCAAGTTCGGCCGTTCATGCGATCGATAGTACTTTCTCTAGTACTTCTTCGGGTCTCCGTCGAACACTCTACAGACAAACCCTTGAGGACGAAAAAGTTTACGAACCTCGTCAAGACGAACAAACAGCCGAAGAGGAAATGGCAGAGGGCAAATTCATCACTATTCGAGTCACCAACCAAGCCTATCAACAACCCTTTGGAGCCTTCTTTGTCATGACACACCATGTCATGCTGACGTGACTCCCATCTTCACCGTTGGTATGCAAGCCAGTGAGGAGTTGGCCCGTCTGGCCGAAGATGGAGACCCTGCCCCATTGGTGCAAGCGTACAATGCATCTTCCCATGCGGGATATGTTGGCATTCAAAACGAAGGAGCTCCCTACTTTGGAGGAGAAACACTAGAGTTCGTGGTCCCCCATGACTTGGAGTATCCCTATCTGACCATTGCCGCCATGGCGGTCAATAGCAATGACTGCTTTGTGGCCCTGAATGGAGTCAAGTTGGAACCCAAGGCCATCCTCGATGGCCCTGGATACGACAGTGGATCGGAAGAAAACAATGAACTTTGCAGTAGTATTCCAGGACCTGCTTGCGATGCTGTTACGGGCAATGTCAGGTCGGGCAATGGAGAGGGTTTTGTGCATGTGCACCGTGGTTTCTTTGGAGTAGGAGATCTTTCCCAGCCCGGATACGACTGGCGCAACCCAATGATGAGGGTTGAAATGAACATGATGTAAGAGAAATTTGTGGACCCATACATGGACATATAGGCCTAATCATCACCGCTACAGGAAGCTAGAGCAGTAGGGTAAAACCAACCAAGTAGAAAACTATGGATCGCGAAGAAAGTAATCAAGCAAAGTAGGTCTACTGCATCCACGCATGACGGTGGCACTAGACTAGTTGTCGGTACCGGTAGTGGACATTACCCAACCTGGATATGACTGGCGAGGCCCAATGGTTAGGGTTGATAAGAGGAACCATAATGGAAGGTAGAGCAGTAAACCAACCAAGGCAGTACTTGAGTAGAAGACAAAGGCCGAAGAAGCAATGAATCAAAGTACCATACACTGAGTTGCTTGCTTGGGTACTGTTTGATCTTTGCTGGATGCTCTTTGTACAATTGAATCCCATGCTCTGGATCTTCTCGAGCGCCATCACAACGAGGGCGCAGGTTCCTCCATCCTCTCAGCAGAGAAAGATGAAGAGGATCCAGCCAATAGCCTATCAACTGCAGCAGGTTTCCAAGCTGCCCCTTTCAGCTCCCTTTCTCTGCTCGGAGCGACCCAGCCAGCAATGCAGTCTTGAGAGCAATACATCAAACTCGAAGGGTTGATGAGACATTGCGGTCCCAGCGTAGCTACCCCATCCAGTCGCAGTTTGCAGCTTCAAAGGAGAATGGGGGTGCATTGAAGGGGCTATGATAGCCGCTTGTGGAGCTTTCTTGCTTTGCCATCAATCTTGCAGCCATTCTGACTCTCGGTCCAAGTTAGGTGAATCTAAGAGACCACGAGACACGAGACACGAGACCACTCTGTTCTCATTTTTGATCCTCGGATCAAGCTTGGGGTATTCACAGTCGCCGTTGAGGGGAAGAGGGCGATAGAGCAAACAGGCGTTTCGGTCGGCCATCTAGCTAGCTTTGTGGGCTATAGTTTACCGCTACCGGGACACAGGCTACACAGGGTTGTATTATTTTCATTTCGAATGCATCCTTGTGGAGCGAAGTCCCTTCGGAGGTCCCAGCAGCCATCAGGCTTGAGGTGGGAGGCTTCAGTTAGTTTGTTTTGGATATTCTATCTTTCACCGTGTTGGAATCCTTTATTTTGAGTCGAGCCTCTCAAGTCCCAGCGGGCACTTCAGCGCAGGAGGGAGCACAAAGCCTAAGGCTCGCGATGGCTCCCAAACAATGTCATGTAGCAATCATAGATCATAGATAGGCTTCAAGGCATCATTCACTCTTGTCAAGTAGGCCTAGACAGCTCCTGGACTTCTACTTTACATGCGGTCCATCAGCCCAAGAACCACGTCCCAGACTGAGGTGGTGATGGTTTCAGGGCAAAGGTTGTTTTAAAGGGGTTGCTCAAATAAATCGAATAAAAACGTGGTGGGTTGTTTTGCTGGTGGTTGGTATTAGTTGGTACTAGTAGGCTCTTGCTTGGGAGGGATGTTCGGATCAGGAGCATGCTATGCTTTCTTGGCCAAAGTCCCAGCACAAAGCACAAGCTTTTGTAGACTGGTCAATAATCTCCATGATGTATGCAGGGGCAGAGATCAATAGAGTGAGGGCCTAGCTAGAATTGTATCTAAAGAGTGTCAGCTTGTGGGGGTGGACGCAGGACAATAGTCTAGATCAAGCCACGGAGGAGCTCCCACTGTGGCGTCTCAGTGCGGTCCCGCAATGGTACCTAGACTGGATTGTTCCCGAGTGGAACGTCCACAACGTCTTGAATCCATCAATTGAATCGTTTGAACGGGTGAACAGAGAGTGTCTGGGGACAGTAGCCAAAATTCTATAATTACCAAGGGACAATTGCCACACCGGGGTATACGGTGAATTAAGAGACCCTCTTCTCTAGAGTATCTTCTCCAATTTTAAAAGAATAACAGTCATTTTTCAGTGGCTTATTAAATGCTCTTGGCTGTTATAGAATGACAATGGTAATCTACCCTAAGGCATAGAGTCAACTGTACTTTCAATTGGAGTTTAGTTGACTATTGAATGATGTTTCTTGTAGCACTCTCCTTTAATTCTTTTCTAGCTGCTGTAAAGTTGTTGTCAATTGCATGGAGTCGGTGGTAAGTTGTGCAATACTCAGTAAAGCCCTACTAGTAAATAAAGACCCACTAAAGCCCTACTATAGACACTTTGAATCGGCCTAATCTTTCGGTTTGTCGGATGCTCTTCGCAAGGTTAGGTATTTTTGCATCAGTTTTCGGTTGCTTGGGTGGTGGTGGGTGGTGGGTGGGTAGCAACCACTACGGTACACTGTGCCGGCTATTGTATCTTGGGGAGGCTGTGAGCTGCTGGGGACGCCCGAACCGGTTTCTACAGGGCTGAATAGTTGCAGGATTTGCGCCAATGGACTTCCAAGCAAGGTTGGATGAGTTCATTTAGCCTGATCCGAAGATCCGAAGAGCTTTCTGCCTCCTCGATTGGTAAGTTCTCTTCATTCACATGGAAACACATACATCTCGAACAATCCAGCTCACACTTTGTATTGGTACAGTGTACCCACTTCCCACAATCCCAACGTTCTCACACTTACTTTCTCGCAGCAGCTAGTCTACCCAAGCAAGCAACCATTCCTTCAACTAACTACTTCACTGAGCAGAAGATGATGGACCGCAACGCATCGAACCAAGGAGAACCCGACTCTGTCAAGCAAGCCGAGAAAGAACAGCGGAAAGACGCCGAGCTCAAGAACTTTGGCAGTGATCATGCCCTGGATGGACGACAGCCCGAGCTGCCCTATGCTCGACCAACATCCGAAGACAACAGTGATATCCCCATGGTGGCGGCGGCCCGTCGCCCAAGTGCCCGCAACAGCATCTTTTGGGGGGATCTCATCACACCCGCTGCTGGCGGCAGAAGAGGATCCGTGCCCGGCAGTTCCGTATCCAGTTTGACCATTTCCGATCTCGGCGACTCCTTCTTCTCCGAGTCCTTCATGGGCTACTCTCAACAATTTGGTACCGTGGTAGAAGACGAAGAAGCTCTCTTTGACAGCTCCGGATCCGATCACAAACCCGTGTGTCCCAAACGAAGAGATTCCATTAGCTCGCAAAAGATCCACTCGACGCGGTTCATGCTGTCCCACAACAACCACAACGATGTGGGTACTACTGGCAAGCGCCTCGATCTGAGTCCGGTACGAAGACCGGGCAGTGAGATGCCACCGGTCAAGCCAGGACGCCGGGAATCCATCTCCAAGACCAAACTGATGAGTCGCAGCCGGTTGTTGGATCGAAACGCCATGTACCCCACCCGTCAGGACAGTGCTTCGACCGTGTCGGACCAAACCACAACCGATTCCAGCAGCAAAGGAGACGACAGCACATTGACATCGGCTCACTCGCCCTGTCTGCTGCGGTCGGATGGCAAACGAAAACTGTTCTCGGGGTGAGCGTTCCAAGCATCCCAAGGATCAGTTCGCCACTGTACATTAAGCAAGCAACAAGCCCAGGAGAGGGGCCGTTTTTGTGGCCCGAGTGCCGGCGACTGGGCCCATCGATTCAATGCAATTCGTCTAGTTGAACGTGTACAATACATTCATAAACATTTGCCTGGCTGTGAGTGGAACGGAGCGAGTATGAACAGAAGCACCACAGGCTGGAACTGAAACATGAAGGAGGAAGCCCTGCTGAATAGCTACTTAAACACAATCTCAACAATGGCTCATCAAACCAAGAACGCTCCGTAAAATTAATAATAAACCAAAGATGAACTAAAAGTATCTAGTACTTGAAACTTCTATCCGAGCGAACTAAAAACTGACTACTATCAGTTGAACCCAGCAGCAGGTTTGCGGGTTGGTCACCTGCGTTCCTCCGCGAAACATGGCTGGTCTCAGCTTGGCTGCAGACTTTAGCTAGTCGTTGTCCGTAGTGAGCAACCATGTTTCCTTTATCCAACACCATCAGACCCGCTACAATACTGGAGTAGGCATCATACTAAGAGTTCACTTGTATCTGACCGTGCAAAAAATTCACCTCCCCAACCAACGACCTGCAGTAAAGTTCACCTGCATTTCTTGCCTATCTATCGTACAAGAATCCGACTGCCCCAACCGATGTAATTTTGCACAATCCTGGATCACAGGTCATCATTTCCAGTAAGGAGCCAGCTGCCCTCTCCAAGTCAGCATAAACTTGTTCCCATGCAGCCACCGTTAGTTGATCTTGACTTGCCTGGAAACTTTGTACGTACTGGTCACTCCATCGCAGGCATCCAAAACTAAGGTTGGCCCATCATGCATGGAAATGCGGATGAATGGTAGATTCCGACTCGATTCTATTTAAAAAAAATAGACAACTCCAGCCATACTGTACCGGTAACCACAAATACCTTAGTAACATACTGGCACTGCAGGACAGGTTGGCGCCAAAGAAGATGGTTCCCTCATGTCACCCTTCATGGTTTGAATGAATGTATCATACATGTATTACCCTTCCACAGCAACTCGAATTAGTTTGCGGAAGCTTTGCAATTTTGTGTTGCCAAAATTAAAGCTGCCTTGGTAGCTTACATAGCTACACTGGCTTATAGTAAGAGTTTAGCGTTAGAGCTAAGCTTTGTCCCGCTCTGGATCAAATATGAAACACGCAAGAAAGCCGCAAAGTACGCATGACTAATGACACCAAAAGTCGTGTACCAGTGCGCCAAACAAACCACAACCAACCACAAAACACACAACCCCACGAGCCAACACTGTTTGTAAAGGAAACCAGATCGTTCCATCTACAGATAGATACATCATAATAGTCACCACCTTCATAATTAGACTACTTAGACTAAAGCAATAATAATGGACGAAGATCATTTCTTGGCTTCCTTCCTGGGAGAGAAATTGCCTACATTGGGATTGGATCCTGAGACGTACGGGCCGTATCTATTGGGTCTGCTTCCCGCGGATGACGAGGCTTTATTGGACGGCAATGCTGATGTCGATGACAACAACTCAGGAGCAGATGATGAAGAGTGGGATGGCGTATTGGAATTACTGCAAGCCAGTTCGGAATCTCATAGTGATGATGTGGATGCATGGCAGGCACTCAAGAAAGAGTTGTTGGATCGGTATCGCAAGCATTTGATCGAGGCAAAACACCAAAAGGCGGAAGAAGATGCTCAGAGACTGGAAGCTGCCAAAATAGCGGCTGCCGCTATCCCCGAAGAAACAAAAAAGGAAGAGAAGAAGAGCTCCGTCATTGACGAGGAGGCCAAGAAAGCCATGTTGGCTCGATTCGCCTATGAAAATGACGACGAGGATGATGACGAGGAAGGGGAGCTTGGCCATGTAAACGTCAACAAGGAAGCCGCCAAACAACAAAGTCTCGAAAATGCCAAAGAACTGCGCAAAGTAAAAGGGCAAACGAAAAAGGAAGAACAACAGAAAACCAAACAAGCGAAACAAGACAAAATCAAACTAAAGGAAGAAAGACGAAATAGGGCTAACAAGGGAGAAAGGAAACGATAACCTGCCACCACCAAAGGACCTGATCTGTGATGGAAAAAGAAAGCAGCCTAGGAACTGTGCATAAAATCATGCCAATAATAAGGACTGTTTCCACGCCAAGAAGAAAGAATTGAAGAGCCCGACATGGCCATCCAGTGACTGAGCTCACCCGGTCTACAAGGAAGGTCACAACACTTTAGAGATACAATTATTTTACCAGGAAAAGCTGAAAGCATGTCGTCAAAGCTACATCGCTGGGGTTGTGATTGTATAAGGCACTTACGTCAACCTGACTCTGCTAGACTGAGTTGAGTTGAGTTGAGTTGCTGCTATACAACGCGGCTTACTCACTTTCAGTCACTGGCAACTGAGACGATTGCCACCTATTTCAGCAACCTGCACTGCCACAGCTTGGTGCCCGTGTATCTTTGCTGAACCGAATTCTTGAACCCATTTAGTTTAGTTAGCAGCCTAAAGAGCAGAAGTCATGTTTGATTACTTCTTCGGGTATCTCCTGGCTGCAGAGCGAGAAAGGAGGGCTCCTTTGGCTGGCAACCAGCTAGCCAATAGTCTCCACAATGTGTCGTACGTGTACAGTACGGCTGAGTGCCCTGTATTGGTAACGATAGCTCCAATCTTTTTGCAAAAAGGACTCTCTGTGCACCGCCTCCAAGTCGCTCACTTTCTTTCCGCCGCTCGCTCCTGGAATCTATTTGGGGCTCTCTGGATGATTGACTGCCGAAAGTGAACTGAGTACCAAGCGGTGACGACAACGTTGGCAATGGATGTTCTGACAGCATGGATAGTTAAACTTTTTATAGCGCTTGCTTGCTAGCTAGTCTGGCACTGGCCACCACCCCATCAGGCTACATGTAGAAGTACCGGTACGGCTCTAAAATAGTGTGTTGCTCAACAAAGTTTTTAAAAGTTAGCCCAGATCACCCTTTGAGTTGTAATCCAGTCGTCGAGAGGACCTTGCTTGTGTCCGTCTCGCATACCCCACAGCGCGGGCGAATCGAAGGGAAGCATTGCAAACGGCATTGACAATGCTGAATCTTTGACGGCGGCGCCTTGTGGAGGGAGCAACAACCCGCCTTGGCACACCCTCCTCATCCTTCATGGCCTTTGGCTCTTCCTTCTTGGGGCTCCATGGTTCTTCCGAGTAGTCATCGCTGACGGCTGTCAAAGCACAGCTCACTTCTTCTTCTTCTTCGAAATCGACACTCTCGTCCGAGTCTGCATAGTAAGAGGTATTGTCAGCTGTTTCCGCATGACTGTCCTCCTCCATCTTGTGGCTGTCCTTGAGGTCATCCTCTTCTTCTTCTTCTTCGGACAGGACTTCGTCTTCTTCTTCTAGACGATTCCTCTTCCAGCATTCCGCTCGTTCCACCGCCAGACGAAGTTCCGACCCGGCACCGGATACCTCTGGCATTTGGTTTCCTCGCGTCCAGAGTTCTTCCGTGCTCATGAGAGGAAGCACCTCGCAATGATCGGACAGAGCTTCGACCATGACGGCTTGAATCTGTTCCATGGTATCTTGGAGACACTGCATCAAATCCCAGGTATCCTGGTCTTCTTGATGGACTGTAAACTTGATCAAGGACAATGCCCCCGGTGCTCGTACCTTGAGTCCAGGTTGACGACTGCTAGTCAACATGTGTCGGACATAGACCCATCCTTCCGTGATGGATGCGCCCTTGTGTCGCACGGCCAAATCGACCTTGGCGTGTCCACCTCGTTCCCGGCACAGTTGGACCAAGGACCGCGCCCGTGTTAGAAACATTTCGTCATTGACTTCGGCCGGTGTCATGCGATAGTAGGATCGTGTGCCTTCTCGTTCTTGTGAACTGGAAAATGTCAAGAGGACCATCCGGAGCTGTCGAATCAGATTCCATGCCAGTTCGTCATTCTCCGGTGGTGGACTGTCGCAGCCTTCGTAGTAGGGAGAGTTCATGAGGTTCCACGCCAAATCGTCCGTGTACGTTGATGAGTGTGGCTGAAGTTGCTCTTGTTGCTGATGTTCCTGGTACACATCATAGTACATGTTGTAGTCCTCGTCGGTACTAGTAGGAAACGCGTCCACGGGAGGAATGTAGTCTTGATAAGAAGCAAACAAGGCAGCCCCGGCAAGGTTCAAGGCAAGCTCGTCTTGGTCGAGATCGAGTGGGAGGCAGTCATCAGGAGAGATTTGGAGGTCCAGAGGGAGTGCTGCAGCCATGGCTGCAGCCATGGCAGCATCATCTTGTTCGCAGGGAAACACGGGCAATCCCACCGCCACAGAAATGCCGCTACTAGTGCTGTTGCGACTGAGAGAAGGAGGCGGGATAGCTTCATCAGAAGCGCTGGGAGAAGCAGGCCTCTGTGGCTGAAAGGGCTGCTCGGCGCCAGCACCTTCGTCGTCTTGTCTGGGCGTCATAGTGTCTTGTTCTGGTGTGTTGGAGTTCTGGTTACCGGTAGGTTCCATTGTGATTGTGAGGGTTTGTTTTCGTAACGACAGTGAAGCTTGTGTCAATCAGACTCGGAAGAAGAATTGTTATGCGAACAGTTGAGTGATTTGGGAGGATCAATGCAGGTTTGGTATAGACTGGTGTAAGCAGCGCTGAAAATCGGTTCTGATGTGTTTTTGACCATGCAAGTTGCTGTGGTCGTGTCGTTGTGTGGTTTCGCGACCTTTGTTTTCCACTTGACTCTTGGCCTTTTGAGGTCACTGAGACTTTACCCAACATGTTGACGCCACTGGTTATTCAAGTTCCCAACTCGCGCTACTGGCGAGTAAAAAACTTGATTGAAAAAAGAGTAATAAGTCTATAAGTACGTAGTACTCAGGTTTCCTTCGTATAAAGAGCCCAGCGAACGCACTGGCACGTGCAATTGCCGTCAGGCCTGAGAATCCTCGCTGCTTCAATGTTGATCCTCAGATTGCATTGCCCTAAGTGAAGAAACAGCACTAGCTCAGCAATGCAACGGATTATACAGTCAATCCCACAGTCAGGGAAAGCCGACGTTGTCAGTGGTAAAAACGAAGCAGAATGATTACCACTTCTGGGTCATCAAGGGCTTTTCAACCTGGTCTTTGCGTGTCTGACAGCTTCTCTACACACGTAATCAAATAAGACTACAATTTTTAGTATGACCAAAGGGCCTAGGATGACCCAATCTATGACCCAACCTTGCGTTCGCGGCTCAAATATAATGCCGTAGGGGCTTCTACCTTTTATATAAGAAAGCTAAGAGCACTCAACTCCAGGGCCAGGCAAATGCAAACTTTATTTGGAAAGCCATAAGTAGGAAGCTTGATCTGGCGGCAAGAGAGCCAGTCAAGCCACACCTGCGACGAATTTAGACATT